TGGGATAAACAAGTAGAAGTGGAATTGCTGCGTTATATGGTAAATGTACACTTAACTTATAAGAAATTGCACAATTGTTCTCCAGAGTGGCATTTTGCATTCCCACAGCAATGTATGAATGTTCCAGTTTCTCCACATCCTTGCCAGCATTTGGTATTGTTATTTTTTTTATTTTATCCATTCTAATAGGTGTGTAATGTTTCTTGTGGTTTTAAATGCATTTCCCTAATGATTAATGATGTTGAACATCTTTTCAAGTGCTTATTTGCCATCTGTATATCTTTCTTAGTGAAGTGTCTGTTCAATTTTTGCCCTTTTTTTATTGAATTGTTTTCTTGTTAGGTTTTGAAAATTTTTTATATATTCTGGATACAAGTCCTTTGTTAAGGATGTGATTTGAAAATATTTTCTCCCAATATGTCTTGTCTTTCATCCTCTTTGTAGTGTCCTTCATGTAGCAAAATATTTTAATTTTGATAAGGTCCAACTTACCATTTTTAAAGATAGCGCTTTTGGGGTTCTATCTAAGAACACTTTCCCAATCCAAGGTCACAAAGATTTTCTCCTCTGTTTTCTTCAAGAGCTGTATGTTTTTAGCTCTTAGTTTTATGCCTATCATCCATTTTGTGTTATTTTTTATATATGGTGTGAGATGTAGGTCGAGGTTTACTTCTCACATATGGATATTCAGCCTTCCCAGCACCATCAACTGAAAGGGCTGTCCTTTCTCCATTGAATTGTATTTGCACCTCTGTCAAAAATCAATTGGCCATATTCTGTGAGTCTATTTCTGGACTCTGTTCTGTTCCATTGGTCTATGTATCTATCCTTTCACCATACCACACTGTCTTGATTACTGTAGGTTTATAGTTGTCTTAAAATGAGGTTGTGTGAACTTCAACTTTACTCTTCATTTGCAAAATTGTTTTTGCTATTGTAGTTCCTTTACCTTCCCTTACAACTTCAGAATCAACTAATCTCTATCTACAAAAATCCTGCTAGTATTTTTAGTGCAATTGCATTAAATTCACAGAGCAATTTAGGGAGAAGTGACATTTTAACTATACTAAATCTTTTAACCTATGAACACAGTACGGGTGTTCTTTGATTTCTTTCAAGAGTGCTTTGTGGTCTTCAGCATAAAGATCCTACACATATTTTTGTTAAATTTATACCTAAGTATTTCACCTGCCGGGGAGGGGAGTGGGTCACTCTCCAACTGTTTGTAGCTAGTATAGAAATATGACTGATGTTTGTACATTAACCTTTTATCCCACACCTTGCTAAATTCACTTATTAGTACTAAGAGCTTATTCTTTTCTTTTTTAAAGATTTTATTTTTCCTTCTTTTCCCCAAAGCCCCCTAGTACATAGTTGTGTTTCTAGTTGTGGGTCCTAGTTGTGGCATGTGGGACGGCAGCTCAGCATGGCTTGATGAGCGGTGCTAGGTCTGCGCCCAGGATCTGAACTGGCCAAACCCTGGGCCGCTAAAGCAGAGTGCACAAACCCAACCACTCGTCCACGGGGCCAGCCCCTATTAAGAGCTTCTTTGCATATTTCTTGAGATTTACTACATAGACATGCTATCTGAAGATAGGGATAATTTTATTTCTTCCTTTCCAAGCTTTTATTTCATGCCTTTTATTTCCTTTTCTTCCTTAAGGCAACTGCCAGGACTTCTAGTAAAATATTGAATAGGAGTAGTGAAAATAAACATCCCTATCTGTTTCCCAATCTTGTGGGTAGTGGACATTCAATCTTTCACCATTAAGAATGATGATGTTAGCTCTAGGTTTTGTAGACATCTTTTATCAGATTTGTTTACATCCCTAGTTCACTGAGTTGTCTTTTTGTTTGTTTTGAACACTAATATGAAGACAGTTACATATTTTCTGAAGCTTATGTACATGTTCTATTTGTTTACTGTCTGTAAAAATGCAAAATTTTTAAAATAGAAAGAAAAACATAGAGAAGTAGTGAATGCCCTCTCTTAGAGAGACTACCAAGACCATGTCAAATGCTACCACCCCTCCTCACTCTTCACCATGTCTCTGCTATTTCGGCAATGTAGCCCCTTTGATGGGGTGGAGGTAGGGGTGCTAATTGCAGGAGCAAGCAGTTTTGCTCGGGAAGCCCAAGTCAGGTCAGGCAAAGCTCGGCTGGTCAGGAGCTCCAGCCACTGTGTCCTCTTGTGAAGCAAGACACACCAGCCAGCCCTCTGGATTACAGATGGTGGTCATTCCTACAGCTATTAAAGAACCAATGACCTCTAGATGGATTAGATTCTGTTTGGGGCTCAAAACAAGATATTTTTCCTCATCTTAGTTGAACTGAATTCTTTTTCTTTACACAGATGAACCTGCCGGGTTCATGGTGCTGAGTTTTTCAAATTATGGATGTTGAATTTTGTCAAGTGCTTTTTTTTTTTGCATCTATTGATAGGGTCATGTTGGTTTTCTTCTTTAGTCTGTTAATATGGTGGGTTACACTAATTGACTTTCAAATGTTGAACCAGCTTTGAATTCCTGGGATGTCAAATGACACTCAGTGACAAAGTATTTTTCTCTTTACATGTTGCTGGATTCAACTGCTAATATTTTTTTTGGTATTTTTGCATCTTTATTCATTAGGATAGTTTTCTTTTTTGTATGGCTTTTATCTGGTTTTGGTATCGGGTAATGTTGGCTTCATAAAATGAGTGGGAAAGTTTTCCTTCCTCTTCTGTCTTCTGAAAGAATGGTTATCTTCCATCTTCTTTGTAGAATGGCTTTTATTTTGTCCTTAAATGTTTGATAAGATTCACCAGTGAAACTATATGGGCCTGGAATTTTCCTTTTTTTTAGGTTTTTAAATACAAATTCAATTTCTTTAATAGTTATAGAACTATTCAGCTTATCTGTTTCTTCTTAGGTGAGTTTTGGTAGTTTTGATGGTGGTTCATTTAATCTGAGTTATTGAATTTATAAGTATAGAGTTGTTTGTAAAATTCCCTTATTACGCTTTTTAATGTCCATCATCAATAGTGATCTCTCCTCTTAGAGCACGTATGTTACAGGAATGACCTAGCACCAGAAAAAACCCTGAAGACAAAGCAAAGAAAGGACATTACTGCAGCTATACAGACCTCAAACCTTGTTATTTGCAGTCTCAAAACTTTCAATTCCGTATCCAGTCAGACATCAAGTCCTTTTGATTTGTCCTTACCAACATTTCTTGCAATTTCCCCCCATTCCCAATATTGCTTGGTACAACCCTTTAATGTCTCCTCAACTGTGTACCTAAATTACTCCACCTGCAGCCTAACTCATCTCACTGCCTTTCCCCACTTAAATTCATCCTTCACACTGATGCCAGACTTATCTTCTTCAACCTCCAACGGTTCCACACTCCCTGCCTACAAGATAAAGGCCCTCCACATCTGGCTTAGCCTTGCCTTTTGAATTGCAGTTAATTTTATTTCCCTAAATCAGGGGTTAACATGCATGCTTTAGAGGAGAGGGGTGGATCATCAATCTCCTAAAAATTGAATATAAAATGTTGTATGAACATGAGTTCTATTTCCAGAGCAAGGTCCACAGCCATTATCAGACGTTGAAAGCCCTAAGAGAAGCACTCAACCTGATCCTGGCCTCTATACTCTATCAAGAACACACTATAAAGCCCTTCCAACAGTTCCCACCTCAATACAGTGATCGCTCTTCTCTGAACTTAAACTGACAAAATTTTAAAGATCTCGCCTCACCCTAACACTTACAGATGAGGAAACAAGACTAGCACTTAACTGTTTTGTCCAAAGTTGCTCCTATAGAATGTACTTTCTGTGCAACTGAGTCAGTGTTTAGCTGCTATATTCTTGGTCTTTTTATGAATAAATGTCACATTTCTCCCTGAGGTCAGAAACTAAACCTCAGAGTTCCTCGAAACTGCAATTATCTTTATTGTCTTACACAAACTACCCACTCAAATGTCTGCTGAGAACAGTGATAATAAGAATGATGGTCAAACTGAGGCAGGGGAGGAGGGCTGATTAATGAGCACTGAGTTGGGAGTATATTTTTAAGGAGACATGAGCGCATTTTGGGGATGAAAAAATATTACTAAGCTCAGCGCTTAGCCATCAATAAAATGGAACACTCAAAGGTATGTGTGAAGCGAGCTCTGAGAAAGTTCGTAGTCAGAGGCCAAATTTCCAGAACCAGGGTCGTTCTGGACAGCATTCAGAAAAAATTCCTCCGGAGAAGCAACTAAAAGGGGGGGGGGGGGGGGGGGGGGGGGGTGCCCGGTATCGGGGAAAGAGAAAGGGGTGTGAGTTTTGGAGTGAGTCTTACAATGCATTCAAATTTCAGCTCCATCACATCCAAGCTACATTATAATCTCGGGCAAATCATTTAACTTTTTTGTGCCTCGGTTTTCTGATTTGTATCTATCTAAGGATTGTGGCGACGACTGAACAAAATAATGCGTGCAGAACGCTTAGGTCAGCGTCTTCCTCCTAAGGCATCCTTTCGTTAAGCGTTGCTGTTATTTAAGGAGAGAAGGGGGTTTTCAGGAGGAGAGGAGGGGCGCTGCGCTGAGAGCGGTGATACTTGGTACGGACTTTCAGAAGAGGGAAGATCTGAGGCCGACAGAATGGGCGGCCTCCCAAAGGCAGCCGGGGGAAGCAGCGGGGTGGGAGCTTTTCCACGGGGTGCATCTGCGGGGCCCTCCACGGTAGGAAGAGGAAGAGCTGAGCCGGATGTCAGACCCAGAACGCACCCTCCAGAGCATCTATGAGAAGTCGGCGACCGTTCAACGTGAAGGAAGCGCTTACGAGAAGGGGCACATCTTCTGGGAAGCCCTGAGCGCTGGCAGCGGCCCGATACGGAAGTGGCGGTCCACCGTCCAGGAGTGACCGAGAGCCCGGGCAGAGACTCAAGGGGGGCTGGGGGGAAGGGTGAGGTGGAAGAAGATGCCGGCGCGGCCTCTTTCTAGACACAGATCCGAATGAGACCCTCACTTACTGGAAACTGCAGGAGAAACGACCTTTTTGGGCGGGCTCCCCAGCCCTGTCCCGAAGGTCCCGAAGAACCGAGCTGGCGACCGCCCCACAGCTTGATGCCCGACCACACGATATCGCGGGAGGCGGGATGGGGGGCGGGGCCTCCCAGCGCGTGCGCGTCAGCCGGTTGGAAACGCCCCGCCCACGACACAAAGGTGGGCGGAGCCGACGTGGCTCTTCCGGCCGCGGGGCCATCCAGCGGGGTTGCAGGCGCGTAGTTTTGTTTCGCAACGTGTTGCCGCGCACGTCGGGAACCTCAAAGTGAAGCGCCAGATTCTGTAACAGATTGTCACCAGGTGACAACGCTTCCCCGGGATTTGTTTTTTGGTAGATTAATTTGCCCAGATTTGATACGAGGACGGTGTTGCGACTTCCCATCCAGCGATGTGGTTATTTCTCTAGGAATTCAAGTCTTCCCTTATTCGGGGGAAGTCTTCCAGTTGTCTTGGTGTTTTGCACATTTCTTTTTAGGTTTTCCCCTGGCAGTTTTTATTGCTGTTTTAGTTTGCTTGCTCTTCCTGTTGGACTATTATTGCGCCCTAGGATAGTTTGGTTTTTGGGATGGTGATCTATGTGGTCACTTCGCTAAAGGTCTGTATTCTAATAATTCTCCTGGATTTTGTACGTAAGAATTCATTTGTAAATAACAATTTTGGCTTTTCCCGAGAATCCAGTACTACACTGTATAGTAGCCTCAGGGGTACTTCTTTCCAGAAGTTATTTTAATTGCATCTTACCTTCCGTTCATGATGTTTTCTGAAGATTGCTAGTAGGTAACCTTTTTTAAAAATTAAAGGCACTTCGTTCTTTTCCTAGCTTGCCAAGTCGTTTTATTGTTTCTTAAATTCAGAAATGGGTATTGAGTATTACCAAATACTTTCAGAGATTATCATATAGCTTTTTCTCCGTTACTGTACAATCATTGAGCTACAATGATAGATTTTCTAATGTTGAGTCATCCTTACAGTCCTGGTCTGTATTCTTCCAATACATTGCTGGATGCAATTTGCTGTGTATTTAATTTAGGATTGCTGTGTCTATGTTCATAAGTGAGATTGGCTTATGGTGTTCTTTAGTTGTCCTTGTCTAGTTTTGCTATAAGTTTATGCTAGGTTTCAAAATGAATCAGGCAGATTAACTTCTTTTTATATGACTCAGAACAGACATAGCATGTGAATGATCCGTTGAGGTTTTGAAGAGCTCATCTTTAAAGCTGTCTGGATGTGGTGCCTTCTTAAAGGCTAAATATTTTTTCCTAGAAACGTATCCATTTCATCTACATTTTCAAATTTATTAGTATAAAATTGTCCATGGTGTGAACATTTTTTTATCTCATATTGTTCTTATTCATTGTTATATACTATTGCAGTCTTTTTTTCTTTTTCTTGATCAGATTTATTGAACCAGCTTTTGATTTTATTGATAACCTCTGTCTTAGTTTTTTCTCATTCATTAATGTATGCCTTCATTAACTTCTTCCTTTTTATTTCTTTGGGTTTATTTTGTTCTTTTTGTAGAATCTTGAGTTAAAAGCTCATTTTCTTTAAAATGTTTAATATGAAATATTACAAACATGTATAAAGTTACAGAGAATAACATAATGAATACCTATATACCAAGCATTTAACTTTATCACATTTTAGCATTTTTCCGTATTTGCTTCAGATTTTCATATTACCTATTCAGTTAAAGCCCCGTGTGACCTCTTCTGCAATCTCACTCTCCCTCTCCTTCTCTGAAGTTAACTCTTCCCCTGGATGTGGTATCTGTCATTCCCATGAGAGCTTTTAAACATGCTACATATATTTAGCTATATAAGTAACATACAGTATTGTTTTGTATGCTTTTAAACCTAACATAAGTGATACTATTGGGTAACTTGCTTTAGGTACCCAAAATTATGTTTGTGAATGTTATCCATGTTGATTGATGGAGTTCTAATTTTTTCATCTTAACTGCTGAATAGTATTCCATTGTATGACTATAAAGCAATTTCTCCATTGTCCTGCTGGTAGTAATGATTCCTGATTTTTGCCATTGCAACAGGAGTTAACGGGCATTCTTATACACATCTGATGGAGCACATGGCAAGAATTTTCGGGTATGTGTCTAGAAATGGAATTGTAAGATGAAAGGGTTTGCACAATTCATCTTTATTTGATATTGCCAAATTGTTCTCCACTGCTTGTACCAGTTTAGCCTTCCACCAGCAGTGTAGGAGTTTCTCTTACTCCACTTCCATGCTATCCCTTGTTTGTTTATTTTTCCCCCAGTTTTTTTGCTAGTATAAACAATGCTGGTAGTAAACTCTCTTGTCTCTCCTGGTATATATGTGCAAGAGTATCTCTGAATATATACCCAGTAATGGAGTTGTTAGCTCTGTTTCCTTTTAGATATGTATTTAAAAAGTATATATGTGTGCCCTCCCCCCAATATTTGAGGCTTGTCCTCTTTTAATACTAAAATGTAACTCGTTCGTATTTATGTGTTTGGATTTAATTCTAACTTGTTTTTTCTATGTATCATCCTTCCTGTTTTTTTCTCTTTTCTAACTTTGGTTTGATAAAGTTTCTTTTTCCAGATTGTTTTTCTCTAGTGGTTTGGAAATTATGCATTCAATTTTTGTTCTAGTGGTTACTCTTATATTTTAACTCATTTAAATTTATATTTTTCTATAAACAAGTAGAGTCAATCAGTACCCATATGAGGCAGTCTTGCACAGTGGTTAAGAGTGGAGCCTCTGAAGCCACACTGCCTGGCCTCAAATCCTGGCTTTACCACTTGTTAGCTGTGTAGCCTAGAGATTATTACATAACCTTGCTGTGCCTCGGTTGCCTCATCTGTAAAATGGGGATAAAATAGCATATATCTCATAAGATTGTTGTGAGAATTAGTGTGTTAATATATAATTAGTCTGTGAAATTCTTAGGACAATGCCTAGCCCATACCACATAGATCTCTCTAATCATCAGTGTTTTCATCTATGAAATGGGCATAATATACCTGCTTAGCAGATTTTCTATAAAGATTCAATGCATTATTCTATAATTGCAGTTCAGTTTAACACACTGAGCACTTTCTATGTGCTTGACTTAGACATGGTTTTTGGCTTCAAAGAGTTTATGATCTAGTAAAGGCTCAGACATGTAAAAACAATTGCAGTATGATGTAACCTTAATACTATTCCCATGGCCTCTCTTGTCCCCTTCTTATCTGTGCTCCACACAGAGCAGTTTTTTAGAACACAATCAGATCGTGCATTCCCCTGTCAAAATCCTGTCAACTTTCATTAAACTTTGCACAAATCACAAACTCCTCGCCATGACTTCAGCACTAGATTCTGGGCCACACGTCCTTTTCTGACTCAAATTCTGCTCTCCCCTCTTTTGATGGACTCCCACCACACTGGCCTCTTCTCATCTCCTTAAACCAACTTTTATTCCTCAGTGCCTTCTGCCCAGAAGTCTCATCCCACCTGCTCTTCCCATGGCTGACTCATCTTTCAGTCTCAGCTTGATTCAGTCTGGTTCTTAGTTACAAACAGAATCTGCTCTGGCTGAGAAAGGGACTTTATTAATATTATGTAGCCCACAGAATCTCCAGGAAGACCAGAGGCCGGATGTGGGTGCCACACAGCCAGGTACCAGTACAGTAGAGGCTCTAGTGAAAATCCACTGCTGCTGCCACCACTTGACACCAAAACCACAACTTCTACAAACAGAATCTACAAAAATAAGGACTGAGGTGCCAGGAGCTCTGCCTTGGTGCCCTCATCACCCTCACCACTGGGTAGCCAGAGTTTGGCACATTTCTTTCTTGATCTTGCAAATCTTTCTTGCAAAAAAAAAAGTTGATCTTTCCAAGTTCATCTTTCAAGTTGAAGTTTTGCATAACTCTGCCTGATTGGTGGGGCCTGGGTCACATGCCTGTGTTGCAGAGGGGGTCACCGGAGGCAAGTTTTCTCACAGGAAATTCCTCAGATATTACAAAGCTGTTCAGAAGTGCTGGGCATTCTGAAAACATGTCACCTGAGCACTAAATATCATGTTACCTCAGCATGAAGGCCTTCCTTGACAACCCTAAGTGTATACATATTCTCCCCACCCCGGCCACATTATACTTTCACAGTACTCTGTCATTTTCTTCAAGGCATTTATCACAACTTACACTGTTATATATTTATTTGTTCAAATGCTTTATAAATCCTGGAGCCAGAGTCCAGTTTCCATGTGGAGTTTCATTCAAACAAGTGTAACTCAAATAGCCAAAAATAATTTTAAAATGTATTTTAGCCTTTAATTTGGGTCTCTTGGAAGAAAAAGCATCAAAGGGGCTCCAAGTCTCAATTCCCAACAGTCCCACAAGTTCATAACCCCTTTTCTCTTGTCTTTAATTTTCCCCCAATCCTATGTGGATTGGTTTAGCTTTTCTTCATAAATTTTGCCCCTAGTGCTCTCCCTTCAAATGTTTTCTGCCTATTCTCTTATTTTGCATCACCGACATTCAGAACTGGTCTGAGAGAGACATTTTTCTCAGGCCACCGGGGAAAGGAGTCGAGAAGCAAAGCCTTTATCAGACAGAGGTGGCTGGAACATTCACACATTGATCATTTTGGCTCACCACTTGTGGCTGACCTCCAGATTATAAGTTTTATGAGGGCAGGGACATATCTGTTCTATTTGTACCTAACACAAAATCTGACAAACCTATAGTCAATTAACAGTGGCTTTCCGGAAAAAAAGACAAGTCCAGCAATTGAGATGTTGACAAGGAAGTATACAGCCCAGAGCAGGGACTCAGCCTGGTGAAGGATGGGGGTGAGGTATGCAGCGAGTAAGGGCTAGTTTGGGAAGGCATCCTGGAGGAGGTGAGGCCAAAGCAGAATCTTAAAGGGCAAGAATTCACCAGGCCAAGAGGCAGACCAGGGTAGAGAAGAATATTCCAGGTAGAAGTGTAGCACAAGCACAGACAAATATCAGCGCTTGGTATGCTATTGCTAAATGCAAAGTAGGAGAACTGTCAGGAGGTGAGGCTGGAGGGGCAGAGGCAGGCATGGGGGGCCTTGTATGCCATGCCAGGGAGGCTGGCCTTTGTCCTGTGGGTGACAGAGCCTCAGTGGGTTGGGTGGGCAGTCATTCTAACATATTCATTTTAGAGAGATTACTGGGTGGCAGTGTGCGGTTGGATTTGAAAGAAACAAAAGAAAAAAGAGAACAGTTGTGTAGCAAAAAATGTAGGCTTGCAATAGGGTGGTAGTAGGCAGTAGAGATAAGTAGCAGGAATTGTTTAAAAAAATTATTTGGAGGTCAGATTGGCAGGTCTGGGTAGGTGATTGGATGGGGAAGGTGAGGGAGGAATCTAGAATAGTATCCAGACTTCTGGCTTGGATGATGATGTCATTAACTGGGGTGGAATAAACAGGAGGAGTTAGCCTGGCAGTGCTCAGGAGTGGGGAGATTTCCAGGTGTTATGGTGAAGTGGACTTTCAGGTGCCTGTGGGGCTTCTAAGTTAAGATGATCAGCAGGTACTTGGATATATGAGTGCAGCTTAAGGCAAAGGTGGGGGGCAGAGATACAGCCTGAGGAGGGTGCCACATGGGGTGATGATGAGTTCAAGAGTCAGCTGTGGGGTACCCCGGGAGTGACTGCTGTTCTCAGGGTGGCCTTTGGCCCTGCTGACATTCTTTTCCCTTCCCAATTCCCCTGGTACTTTTCTTTCTTTTTTTTTTTTTTTTTTTTTTTTAAAGATTTTATTTTTTCCCTTTTTCTCCCCAAAGCCCCCCAGTACATAGTTGTATATTCTTGGTTGTGGGTCCTTCTAGTTGTGGCATGTGGGACGCTGCCTCAGCGTGGTTTGATGAGCAGTGCCATGTCCGCGCCCAGGATTCGAACCAACGAAACACTGGGCCGCTTGCAGCAGAGCGCGCGAACTTAACCACTCGGCCACGGGGCCAGCCCCACTTTTCTTTCTTTTTTTTAAAAATATATATATATTTTTAGGAAGATTAGCCCTGAGCTAACTGTTGCCAATCCTCCTCTTATTGCTGAGGAAGATTGGCCCTGAGCTGACATCCGTGCCCATCTTCCTCTACTTTCTATGTGGGATGCCTACCACAGCGTGGCTTTTGCCAAGCGGTGCCATGTCCGCACCCGGGATCCGAACTGGTGAACCCCGGGCCGCTGAGAAGTGGAATGTGTGGACTTAACCGCTGCGCCACTGGGCCGGCCCCCACCTTGTACTTTTCTTCCCTCTTACCATTCCTTCTCCAAATGCAGGCTTCTCTCCCGCCTCCCCTAAAATGTGGGGCTCTCAGGTGATTTCACCACCTGGCACCTACTGTGCATCCATCAAAGCTTTGTCTCCAGCCCAGAATTCTTATGTAAGATTAAGGACCATGACTCCAACCACTTTCTAAGAGAAAAGAGGTAATTGGCAGTGTGGATTGATTGTCCAAGGCACCACACCAAGGGTTTGTGGCTCTCAGTCCCGTTTAAGTGCCTTCAAGACTGGCACTGTGAACCGAACCTGGCATGACTATTTCCTGTTTCTCTGAAAACATCCAATTTGGAGATCAGGGGTCAGAATTCAGATCTGTTAGTATGCATTAATATGTACCCTACCTCCCCACCCTACTTTATTCCTGCACATACCTTGCTCAAGGTTAACTCCCCTTTGATGCCTAGTGTACTGTTTTCTTTTCATCACGAATCAAAATCAGACCAAAATGGAAATAAAAATTTAAATCCTACTGAAATAGAATAAAAAAAACTGTTCAGATCATAAAAGAGGAAAACTCATTTACATAGATCCACTTGTTTAAAACAAAAATCACAACTCTTCTTTTGTGCGAAAGGAGTGCTTTTTATTCTAGAATACCTTGTTCTGTGATCACTGTTTCAAGACAAAGGGACTCAACTTGTAATCAAACCATGCCATGACATACTTTTTTTTTTTTTGAGGGCGATTAGCCCTGAGCTAACATGTGCCACCAATCCTCCTCTTTTTTGCTGAGGAAGACTGGCCCTGAGCTAACATCCGTGCCCATCTTCCTCTACTTTATATGTGGGATGCCTACCACAACATGGCTTGACAAGCAGTGCGTAGGTGCACACCCAGGATCTGAACCGGCGAACCCTGGGCCACCAAAGTGGAACGTGTGCACTTAACTGCTGAGCCACTGGGCCAGCCCCATGACATACTTTTTATGTAGAGAAGCTGGTTAAAACACAAAACCAGTATTTTGATAAATTCACTTTAAAATGTTTTTCACATCAACTACTTAAAACTAGTTACAACAATATGATGTTCCACTCCCAAGTACAAAGGATGACCTTGGATTTGATTAGAAACACTGAAACAGAGAAGCACCGGGGTCTGGCTGTGTGGTCTAGAGAAATGCTTCCTGAGTTTGTGTGAGGTGATGTGTTACCCATCAACTGTACCAGTTCACCAGCAGCTACAGTGTCGTTCTTTAGTATACTTCTATTGTGAACTTCTTTCTCTGAATTTAACCCTTTGGGATGGTTTCTGCAATATGAGTCTTTAGCATCTTGAAAAGTTCACAGAAGAGATTAAGAAAGTTCCAATTATTCCAGAAACCACTGGTACAAATCATGCTGCTTCTATCAGGTTAACTGTTCAAAAGTTGTCAGGTGCATGCATGGTGATCACCCAAGTGAGCTGCAGTAAGTGGCCCTCAGCCCATGGCACTTGTCCTTGCACACTCAAGGGAGCCAGTCTGAGTGGAGTAATGCTCAGTTGCATAACAACAAATTAGGCTCAGGAAGACTGGATATTTTTTTGTTAAGCTCAGGCTTATCAAGAGTCAGAAGGGCTCATCTCAACTTATATATACACCCTAAGACCCTTACAGATAGAGGCACAAGAACATAATGATTTCTCTTCTTCACAAAGTACTCAGGACTTCGACAAGAAAAGTCACATGTTTATATAAATGCCCATTTCTTAGCAATTTATGAATTCAAAAGTTCTCTCAAAAAGAATAGGAGATACTGTTTTTGGCAATCAGTTTTGGATGGGAGTATTTCTGACACTCATAGGAAATTGTAATAATTCTCCCTAGGTTTTAAATTCTTCTTATCCATTTATAACAGTTTCTCCTTCATATACTAAATCTTGCCCATCCTCACATTAATTTACTATTACTACCAAAATACCTTTAAACTATCTGTATACATATACATATATATACACACTTATGTGTTGCTTAATGACAGGGACACATTCTGACAAGTGTGTCACTAGGCAATCTCGTTCCTATGTGAACATCATAGAGTGTACTCACACAAACCGAGATGGTGTAGCCTACTACACACCTAGGCTATATGATACCAATCTTATGGGATCACCATGGTGTATGTGGCCTGTTGATGACTGAAATGTCATTATGCAGTGCATGACTATATTTATTAAATTGAACCTTATGAAACTGCTAATATTTGACCATTTTTGACCTATGAAAACAGTTTTTTCACATAGTAAAATCTGAACTTTAGTTGGCTGGCTATATCTCCTTATCTACATCCTATGCAGTAGTTTCTGCTTTACTGCAGCAGGGAGAATGAAAATGCCTACTCCATTCACCAGTTCCTATGCAGCCTTGCAAAACTGTGCTTGCTGACTACTGGGTAAATTTCATGAAACTATTTAGAGATATAATAATTTCCACAAAATTTAGTACTTGACCAAAACAAGTCTGATCCAAACTGAGCATATTAATCTTTTTAAGTATACTACCCATCTACTTAACTGGAACAGCCTACCCTAAATAGTGGCGTTTGCAGGCTTATGGTAAGGTCTAGAATCAGCAGACCAAATAATAAAATACCAAAGCATTTTCATTGGGAATTCTATCTCTGTGTCCTTAATAACATTTAACATTAGAGAATGCCTACCTGGAGACCCCATGCTAAGCACCAGTAAAAAAGAGAGACACCCCAGACTTTGCTTTCAAGAAATTTAACATCTTTTAAGAGATATAAAAATATAAATAACACGAGGATATTCTAAATGTTTTAAGTTTCAAACTGGGACAGAGTAAAATGTAAAAACAAGACGGCACTTGGGAAGTTTTAACTGACTTCAAATATTGAGGGCAAAAAGCCAAATACAAATGTGCACTGAGTCTAAATTCAGTCAATATGATAATAAAAGGTGTCTCCTCCATGGTTCTGGACCCAAGAAGTCCTTTTGTCACCCTAGAAACAGTGGCTAGAGATCCTCCAGGTCAGTTAAATCCACAGCCACTTTCAGGAAGATGGTGTCATCTTTAATGTAGGTATTCTTGGCATTCTCCAAAGTGGAATGAGCCACAAAGCGGGGACAGCCAGAGGCAATGTTCATCTCCCCATCAGGTCTTTTAAAGCTGCTGCTATTGGGGTCAGCCTTGAAGGTCTCCATAATATGGTTCTTTTTGCCACTCTGGTCCAAAAGCATCAGGGTCACCCTCTGCCTGAATGGCCACTGCAACAGTGAGTCAAACTCCCCTCGCATCACCACAAAGTACAGCGACAGGTGCGTCCCCTTCCCAGACCCGTCCCCATTCAGGTATGCTCTAGCACAGAGCCGGTAGCCACACCGGCTGGTGTAGAAAGGCTGGCTGAAGATGGATACCGTGTGCCCTTCCAGCGCCTCCCTCTTTTTCATCTTGTAGTCTGTCACCTTCCAGATGAGCTTTCCATTATAGCAGGCACCTTCTAGCAGTTTAAATCGTTCTTCATTTTTATTCAGCTGTGCTTTATGAATATTAATGTGGACATCATGTTTGTTAGTCTCTCCTTCCAAAACAACTGCAAAGAAAAAGAAAGTTTCCGTAGGCCTTAAAGTTGTTTTTAGAATTTGCCCAGAGTGGAATTTTTTCTCTGAAGACAACCAATGAAATTCTGACATCCTAAAGATGAACTAAATGCAGTGTCCACCAGTGGACCATTTGTATGAATAATGTCAACTCAGTGAATCTCATATCTCGGCAAGCGTGGCACCCAGAACACCTGAATGCGTCCTCTTGAACTGAAGCCCCCCAAAGTGTAGACAAGACACACTTAGCATTCAACTAGCGTGTATTAGCATGTGAGCCCCACCTCTTTCTAACTAGAATGCTTTTAAACAGCCAAACCCTTTTATATTTTTCTATACTTAAAACAATCTTGCCACGACTTTTCTCCCTTAGTTTTCTCCTTATTTCCCACTCTCCTTAAAAACCATCACTTCCTATTCTTGGAATGTCCTGCCCCATTTCCACCCCTTGCCTGTTCCAGCCCCTGCTTATGGCCCCCTGTCATTTTTGCCTGCATGGCCAGAATCTCATGCTGTTCTGTTTCACAAATACTAGATTCAACCATTGTTTATCCTGGACAGATGTGACTCTCCATTTGGCCAGGAGTTTGCTTGTTTCACGAACACATGCAGACAAACGAGTCACCGAAAGAGAATAATATTCTCTTTTGAGTATATTATTATAAGAGTAAAATATTAGACATACCTATTCTTTGATCATGGGTTTCTAGCAGGGTAATTTTCTGTTTCACTGTGTCAATTGCTTCCATCAAAGCCCTCAGGTCAAATTTAGTTTCTTGCTGGTTAGCCATTTGTAGTAACTGGCGCACTTGAGCTTCTAGCCAAGCGGACTTGTCAAGGTGACTCGCAAGAAGCTTTCAGTACAAAATGGATCGTCATGTCAAAAAAAACTTAGTTAATATTTTAGTAATTCATCGAGACTTAATTTTTTCAACTCAAACATTTCACACTTAATTAACCAATTAATGACATGAAAAATGCAGTCCCGAAGAGAAAACTCAGTGAGGATCATAGAGAGATGAGCCGCCTAATGTCCCGCTCCTCCTGCCTATCCCAGCTCCTGTTCCAAATCTTTGACCCGTTCTTCATCTCATTTTCACTCCTCCCTCAATTTCTCTCCACTTGGTTCTCTAACCTATCTTTATATCTCTATCCTCATGTTGTCTGTCCTCTTGCCTTATCATTTCCTTCTCCTCTTAGCTCTTCTGATTCACTCCTGCTCTGCTAGAAGGCAGAGAATCAGCTGGAAGTAGGCCCACCTGTTCTGGCCTGAGCACCACAGGTGGTACAGAAATATCCTGAGTTGAGGTCTCAACTTCTGATTGTTCTCTTTAGATGGAAAAGATTAAATAAAACAACTACATTTCTCCTCCACTCTTGCCCTCAGTACCTTCACTCTGATTGGTTTTCGTGTTAAAAAAAGGTCAGCCTTGAGATTGTAACATATGATGGATTTCCTTTTTTCTACGCACACACAAACACATAGTTTACGCTGACAAAGTATGGCAATTATATGGCCCGCGTGTTCTGGGATAATCCAAATTTCAAAAATAGTGCCCATACCACATGTCTCAAAGTCTTTTCTGCTATAAATTTTATAATCACAATAAAGAGATTATTCATTAGGAATTTGTTTATGGTTATTTATTCATGATCTACAAAGTAATGTTTGCTGTATTTTAGTGATATTTAAAGCATTTTCTTCCCAAGGGAATGAATAGTTTCACTTTGTTGACTACAAAATGCAGAAATATAGATGCTGTCAATGAATCTGAAATCAAGTGACTAATATCAGTCTAACATTAATTAAAACCTTAATCGCCAAAAATTCTATAAAAGTACAGTACAAACGTTAAATTCACTGACATTGCTAAATGTACTTGGGTTATATAACAGAAGATCTTTAACGAAATACATACTGAAGTATGTAGGGGTAAAGGGCCATGATATATGCAGCTTACTCTCAAATGGTTCAGCAAGAACACACACATACAGAGAGCGAGACAGAGAGAGAAAGAATGAATGATGAAGCAAATGGAACAAAATATTGACAGTGGGTGAATCTGGATGGAGAATATACAGGTGTTTTTTGCACTTATTCTGCAGCTTTTCTGTACATTTGAAATTCTTTCCATTTAAAAAGTTATAAGAAAAACCCTCAGTGCCAGTTGAAGACTAAACCTTGGCTATGAATAGAATGGCCATTTCTCACCTGGATGTTTGAGAGGAAGCTTCCATTTTTGCCAAACAGCTGTGCAAACTGCTTGAACTCCTTTTCGAATTTATTTACCGTTTCCGTTAGCTGCTGAATTTTACTTTCTTTCCGTTCTAGGCTCCTATGTAAGTCAGAAATCTAATAACAGGAATATGAAAATGCGTGCAGACAAGTTAAAATAATTTAAGCATAGTTCTAGGAAAATATTGCAGGTAAAGTGTTTCTAGGAAAAATATATAAATATATATTTTTCTAGGAAAATATTTACAGGTAGATTCCTATATAATTCTAGGAAAATATGTGCAAATGCTTCCAAAAAATCAGATTCACAGATTTCTCATCAGCCTTTTCTATGCCTAACCCGCTATGATGGTTTATCTAATGATAGTGATATCACTTGACTGAATTTACTGAACTGGTTCTCTTCATTCAGTATGTACTTATTAACTAACGACAGAGTACTGATCACCGTTCCACATTAGATGTTACATGCACCGTATCAATAGCAATAGCTGAAATTTGCTGAATGTCTATCATACCCTTATATTCATTAGTTCTTTTAATCCTTAAAGAACGCTATGAGTTGGGTATGAATATTGGTCCCATTTTACAGATGAGGAAACAGAGGCAGAGAGTTTAAGTAATCTGCCCAGCATACGGCTAGCAAGTGGTAGGCAAAACATGCACCCCTCTCAGAATGTGTAATCTATTTGAGAGAAATAATCACAAACCTAAGAGTGATCCTAGACAACTCTTCTCTCATCCCCACATGCATTCAATCAATAATATTTGCAACTTTAACTCCTAAGACACAACAAAACAAACAAAACAACTCTTACATCTATTTCTCATTTCATCTCATCTCGTTTTAGCCTTCATTATTTCTCACCTGGACTGCTACAACAGTCCTAAACTATCCCTCACACACACACTAGAAGGGAAGCTCGACGGGAGCCAGGACTGGTGCAGATCCCATGAGCCCCTGTCACCCCAGCAGCTGGCCTGGTACCAGGCAGTACCAGGTTAAGTGATAAATATTCGTTAAATGAATGAAGAAATGAATGTTCTCCCTGTCTTTAATCTTGTTTTCCTCCAATTCATACTCCATACTGTGACCAGAATAACATGAAGAGACAGATCTGGTCTTGTCACCCCCCGCCCCGCCACACACACACACCATACCATCTCTAGTGGCCTTCTTTTACACGCTATACAGGGGCCTACAGGATCTACCCCTGGCTACCTTTGCAGCCTCATGCCCATTCGTGTCCCACATATGCCCTGCCCAGCAAGACTACACAACTTCTATTTCCCATCAGGCCTTGCTCTCTCAGACACTTCCCCCTTCATCTAGAAACTACCGCTTTTTAAGACTCCACTCAAGGGCATATCTTCTCAGAAATATTTCCTTACTACTACCACCCACCCAGGTCACCTCTCAAGCTCCAAGATACCCTGACCATACTCTAGGCTGTAACTTTACCCTCATTACTCATTGCTTTTTGGGGGGTTACTTTGGTCGTCTTCCTCCACTAAATTGCTGAGGCTCCATCTCACTTATTTCTTTATCCCCAAAGTCTAGCACAGTGCCTGGCACACGGAGGGCATTTGATCCATGTTTTATGAATGAATGCACAAATGGCTGCAACAACCATGTCTCTCTGGCCCCAGAATCCTCTATTAAGACCCTGAGAGCTGACTTCCACCTATGCACCAGACATATCTTCCGGCCCAAAAGCAAACTCAGTGGTTCCTCTCCCCACCCTCACCTCTAACGCGCTCCTGTTCATGTAGTGCCCGTCTCAGTTAATCGCATTACCACATTCCCTGCCTTCTAAGCTTACAGCATGCCATTGCGCCCTCCCAGCGCCTCCCACTGCCCTCTTTCCATCCCATTGACACAGCCTTGGTTGAACCTTCACCATCAGCATCATCACCACCACCTCCAGCATCCTGCCTCCACCTAATATTGAAATGCTTATTATGTGCCAGGCACTGCACTAAGAACCTAAATATATTATCTCATTTAACCCTCTTCACAAACCCACTTTACAAATGAGGAAATTGGGGAAGAGAGAGATTAAATAGCTTGCCCAAATTCATATGAATAGTGTGGAGCCAGTCCTCGAACCCAGGGATTCTGGCTCCAGAGCCCTCACTCATCAATTGCCAGGCTCTAATGCTACATTGTCTAGTTTATTGCAACATCCTTCTGCCTGGTCTCTCTGTCCTCATTCTCTTCTCTCCATCTATCCATCTTCCATGCTACCACCAGCTGTTTTACTTTTTAAAACCAAGCAAACGATTAGTTGGCCAAGTATTTTCCAATTTAAAAGCCTCCATTAGCTCCCTATTAGTGACAAACATTAATTCAAACTTTGGAGCCTTAAATCCTTTCTGAAACAAGGCAGAATACGAATGAATAAAAAGAATAATTGAATGCACAATGTTCAAAACTTCTTAGCTTACGTGGAAGGCCATTGCAATCGGGATCCAACAGACTGGTCTCCAGTCATCCCGTCTCATGCTTGGATGTCTCTCCATCCCCAAACCCCATTTTCTTGAATCATCAGCCCCTCTCATGCCTCCCTGCCTTGGCACAAACTTTCCCCTCCTGGGATCTCATTTCCACATTTCACCAACAGAACTTCTTTTCCTTCAAGAAGCAACATGGATGTCCTACCTTGAAAAAATTTCCCCAACTCCTCTAGAATAAACCCTACAGCCTCTGTACCCCACGCATGCGGTACCCTCATAGTACGTTCTGGCAGGCACAGAAACTTACTCATTTACATTTTTGTGAATTCTTCAAGGGTAGAGGCTGTGTCTTCCTCAATTCAATGTCCTTAGCAACTAACATTGTACCTGACATACAGCCAGTGTTTGTTGAATGAATGGATGGATGAATGAAGCAACTGATACAGAAAGAACTAGGGAATGGTTACTAGGCAGCGTGCCTTCTATCCAAGTTACAGTGTAATCAGTCTTTCTAATTTTCTCCAGGATCTGACCCAGCATCTCTATAATTTGGAATCAGATCTAACAAAATAATCTGCAGTAGTAAAATTCAGCTCCCTCTGTGCAGATGGATGGTTTTCTTCCCTACATGGGCTTGAAAAGTCTGCTCCTCTGAGAAGTTCTAACAAAATAATTAACTCGTATAATAATTACTCCATAGAATCGGCATTTATTGAGGTCCCCTATGAATATTCCAGGGACGATGGTAGGCATTTGCACACAATTTCACTTGATATTCACAACTCAGTGAAATAAATATGTATGTATGCATTTATCAGGTTGCAAAGCTTCTAAAAGGTAGAAGTTAAGACTTACTACAAAATATAGAAAACCCATAATGCCTAGAACAGATAGTCATGGTAATACTGATTTAATTTAAAAACTTCAAACACCTATTAGGCTCCTGCTAGGTGCCAGGTATTAACCAAAAGGTGTGTGGATAGGCTGCAGAGAGGCAGTACGGTGTACCATGGGGAACACTGGACTGAGAATCAGGGGACATGGGTTTGAGATTGAATTCTGCCACTTACAAGTTACAAACACATCAGCATTTCTTTGAGCTTAGTTACTGCATCTGTTGAATGAGGGGGTTGGACCCAAAGATCTCAATGGCACCTTCTAGTTCTAATGTTCTATAATCCTACGAGTCTTTCTAGGCACTTAGTTGAAAAACTTCTACCTGCGGTCAACTTACACGGATACAGAGGGGACTAGAAAAATACCAATAATGGCAAATCCCAGGAATTCTGCTGCCTCCCATTATAGTTGAACCCTTGAATATTTACCTGTTTTTCTAATTGGAGATTCTTTTCTAAAACCAGGAGCATGTGGTCCCGTAAGGCTGAATGCTCATGCTCCTGAAGGTTCCCCCGCTTATCCTTCAATATGAAGAGAAAAATAAGTTAGGTTGTTGAAGGGCTCCAAAAACGAGGGTGGTGGTGGGATATTCTGCTAACGCGGAACTTTGACATTTTGCTTTCTTGTCTCAAGGTGGGTTGCAGGAAAAATGACCCCCTCCCAGTCTCAGCTTTAGGATTCTACAGTATGCATGAGATAATTTGAAACTTGCAGAGACAGAGAATCAGGTCGCTATCAAAATTCTCAATGCTGATACGCTTTCTCGCCCTGGGAATATATGACTGTGGGTTAAGTGTAGTGATCATCATCTCTCAACTATTCCCATATAAAACCTTTCTCCTTGGTGAGTTAGCTCCAGATCAGTTTGAAGCCTGGGTTAGTTCTCCCTCCTACCAACCGCATTTCTATGCTGCCTTCCACAACTGTCCTGCTATCACAGGCCAAAGTATGCAACCTAGTTTCAGCCCCTGCAAATTTGTTGCCCTCAAAAGCAAATAATATGTTTGCAAGAAGAAAGGGTTACTTCTTCCCTGATCATTAAAATATCAGATTGCAAACTGCCGATATTACTAGTGCAATGTTAGATGTTCTGGGTGATCTGTGGACTCTAAGCAAACATTTATCATTAATTTCCCTTCAGTTTAGGGTTGGCCCCTCTTCCACAGGACAACTCCCATCCCCAGCTCTGGTACTGAGGTAAGTTCTAGAATATAACCCAACTGGACTTTGGGCCTAAGTGTAAAGAAGATTTCTTTCAGAGCCCTCGTCTCTCCATCAGCACACCCAGTTCCCTAGTCTCACTCACCAGAGTCAGTGAAGATATACACACATTTTTAATACAATGAGAACATACTATATTTAATTCTTTAAAATAGAGACCTCATTCTTTTTGTCAGATGCATAGTATTCCAAAATATGAATATATAATTATATAGTTGGCACTTGAGTGATGGACTTATAGGTTATTAGTTTTTTGGGTTTTTTTGCTATCTAAACATCTTTGTGTGTGTATGTGTTTGTATATGTGTGCAATCATTGCATACTTATGGAAAGATATTTAGGAGTGAAACTGAGTGTCTTTCCTTACATCTATTAGCCAACTGAATTTTCTTCTGGAACTGCCCATATATTTCTTTGCTGATTTTTCTATTAAGTTAAATAAGCTATTTACATGTAAGAATTGTTTGTATATTTTGGAAAATAGCCCTTTTTTTCGTCTGGTCATATTTTGTAGATATTTACCTCCCACTTTGTAGTCTGCCAATTGACTTTATTTATGGTATTTTTAAAAACATATAGTTTTTTTTAACTTTTTTTTTTCTTTTACTTGAGGAAGATTAGCCCTCAGCTAACATCTGCTGCCAATCCTCCTCTTTTTGATGAGGAAGACTGGCCCTAACCTAACATCCATGCCCATCTTCCTCCACTTTATATGTGGGACGCCTGCCACAGCATGGCTTAATAAGCAGTACATAGGTCTGCACCCAGGACCCGAACTGGTGAACCCCGGGCCACTGAAGGGGAACATATGAACTTAATTGTTACACCACCAGGCTGGCCCCAAAAACATAGACGTTTTAAACATTTGTGATTAAACTTATCAAAATTACATTTTCCAGTTTTGTGTTAGTCATCTAAGAAAGGCCTTCTTTATTTCATGAACAAGAAGAAAACTCACTCTTTTTTTTTTTCCAGTATTTTTATAATTTTTATAAACTTTTTATTTTGGAGCAATTTTAGATTTACAGAAAATGTGGAACAATGCAGAGCATGATATATTTTAATGCCTAAAACTTTGATCCATCTGGAATCTGTTAAAAAGACTGAGGTGGGGATCAAACTTAATTTACTTTTATTTTTAATTTATTTTACACAATACATCAAATAATACTTTTAAAGGTATTTAAAAAGGTAACAAATACATTTTAAAACATGATTTCAAATCAATTTTGTTTCAAAATACTTGGTGGTAGGGAAGCACCATCAAACCCAGGTTTGTAATCATTGGAAGAGTGACTCCCAACGCTTCCAAAACCTAGTCGAGGCAGCGGGGTCAGAATTAGAAATAATTACTGTGATGGTTAATTTTATGTATCAGCTTGGCTAGGCTATGGTACCCAGTTGTTTGGTCAAAACTAGTGTAGATTTCTCTGCGAAGGTATTTTGTAGATTAACATTTACAGTCAGTTGACTTTAAGTAACCCAGATCACCCTCCATCATGTGGGAGGGCCTCATCCAACCAGCTGACAGCCTTAAGAGCAAAGACTAAGGTTTCCTGAAGAAGCAGCTCCTCTCCTCAAGACTACAGCATAGAAACCCCAGCCTCAGTTTCTAGACTGCCTGCCGGCCCTGCAAATTTCAGACTTGCCAGCTCCCACAGTCGCACAAACTAATTCCTTAAAATCAATCAATCAATCAATCTCTCTCTCTCTATATACATCCTATTGGTTCTGTTTCTCTGGATGAACCCTGACTAATTCAACTGCCAGTCTTAAAGTTCTCAGGAGTGAATGTCCTTCTGCCTCCTGAATGGAATCAAAGAGTAAAATGAACTCGCCGTACACAAGAGAACGTAGAGGCAGAAACACAAAGGCATTCCATACCTTGACAGGACAGCCATACTGCTTAAAAGGGCAGTCTTGTTCAGCTTCAGGACACACAGCAAGGTGCTCATCCACCTACGAAAGGGACAGCCTCACGCTATAGAGATTCGTCACCAATCCTCCAACTGCCTGGAATAACTGCAGCAGGAGGGGATGGAGGGGACGGAGGGGACGGAGGGGAAGCAAGGGTGGCTGGGAGGGAGGGAAGGAATAGAAGGAAAAACGCCACGCTAAGGCCTGGCAGAGGGAGAGCTATGGTGGAAACTGAGAAGAACTCTCAGGGAAAAGGGAAAGGGAGACAGAGGCATGGTTATCCTGGGTGTAATTTAAACCTCGGGCCTCTGTCTATGGGACTTTATCAAATACACACCACAATGACTACTAAAACTTTACCTTACATAAAATCTACCGAGAGAATTATTTTCAGTTACCTCAGTTCTTGGAATAATCTGCAAACACTTGTTGGGACAAGATACTGGGTACTCGGGACACATGTTTTCCTCGTGATTCTGAAACAGAGAAAGTGGATGAAACAAAGCCAAACCCTGCTTCCAAGGGTCCCCTTTTGTGGCCTCAGAGTGTTTATACATCTGTCTCTTTGGGGGGGGGGGTCTATGTTCCATGGCTTACCCTGTACAGGAACGTATAGCCTAGTTCCAAAAAGGATTAGAGATGGCTGTTTTCTTGGTATAAATCAGTTCAGTTCAATTCAATTTTCTAATTATTCCAAAAGAAGGTCAGAGGGCACGGGACTCACAGAGGGCAGACTGTGGGAGTCATCAGTATGGCTCCTTTGGCACATGTGAAAGGTACCCCACGCTCTCTTTTTATCCCTATATCCTGCCTCTCCCGTTAGACCTCAGCATCCTCAGGACTGACAGTCTCATCACCTTGTGTCCTGGCATCTAGCATCGCTTCTTGCACACTCATACTCAGAGATGCTCAAACAATATTTTTCCCAATGATGAATGGAGTCCTACCAACAAGGTTTTTAGCTTTTTATAGAACTCTCAGATAAAGTTATTCTTTAGACCTGTTTCTGTACAAAAATAAATCTACAAGTATGCTCCTGGGATCCCATCTGATTCACTGTGACCACTCAGGCACAACTGACTCCCATAAAGATGACTGATTTTTTTTTTTACCTGTAGATTGATTACTACCACGTCCTTTTTGCAATAAAGGCATTTTTCCTCTCGAAACTGGCAGTATGCACTCAAATGCTCTTTCAGATTTTTCCGAAGGACTGATTCCTGACAGTGCTCGTTAGAACACTGCACAGCTTGAAATAGGCACTGCTGAAGGTGGTCCTGCAACAGAGAACAACAGGGTGGTGGGACCCACTGACTGGGACACGCGGGAGGGGGAGCCAGCTGGGAGCCCCAGTGAGGGAGGAAGGACAGTGAGGAGAGCTGGGCAGACAGGACTGCAGGACAGGGCGGGTGGGCAGCCTCTGCCTACAGGCTCCCAGTGGAGGCCACCCCTGCCTCTGCTGAGGAGAGGACACGGAGAGGGCCGCTTGGACCGAGGCTGTGAAATCCAGCCTTGCTTGGTGGGAGTTAGGAGGACAGGGGAAGATGTGTGAAGACGGGAGCACGCCGAGTTTATTTGAGATTATGTAGTAACGTGCTCACGTTCTCAGGTTAGTTCTTAAATATTTTCCTGAGGCTTGCCAATTAATTTACCAGTTCTTCAAGGATATCTTTTATTTTTTTTTGTGCACCCTCCAGCCCCACCCCTAGCACAGGTACTCATTGCTGCACAGCAGATGGTAGAAGCCAGGACAGAGGGAAAAGAAGGAAGAAGAGAAGGGCATATCCTAAGTACAGGAAGGAGGGGAAAGGATTAAGGAAGAAGAGGAAGGGAAAGGAAGCTGTTCCCAAAGTGATAAAGATAAGGAGATAGAGGAATACAGGATGGCTGGCCCAAGAGAAGCTGGGAATGGTCAATCTTGTAAAGTCAGGAAATGTTTTTAACCAAAATATCAGTGAATGATGACATGGACAGTGTTCATTCTCTGGTTCCTCATGTTATAGATTGTTAAAAGCAGGAATGTCTCAATAAAACGTTTGGATCACTGCAAGTTATTGTGATGCTTGAAACAGGGTTGGCAAACTACGGCCCTTACTTGTTTTTGGAAATAAAGTTTTACTGGAGAACAGCCACACCCATTTGTTCACATATTGCCTCTGGCTGCCTTCCCTCGGAAACAGTGGAGTCGAATAGCTGTGACAGACACTGTATCGCCTGCAAAGCCTAAAAAATTTACTGTCTGGCTCCTGACAGAAACAGTTTGCCGACCCCTTCTCTGAAGGAGAAAAGAGCCAACGGTTTTTCTACAGGAGATTAACAAATATTATAGCTATCCTCCTTTGCCTCTAGTAATAAAAAACAAATAGTGACAACTGAAATTCACAATTTCTCCAAAATTCATCAATGCTATCCCTCAACTTTCACCAAAAGAGTCGACATTCATCAAGACGGCTACCTGTGAGATTCTCCACCTTACCACGCAAGGGGGAGTCGGGGAGAGAACAGGGAATGGGGAGAAATACAAAAGAGACCAGCCACTGTTTTCTAGGAACTGAGGATCTGGTCACCAAAGCTGATCAATGGTCCCTTTGAGCCTCATTTCCTTTTCAGGCTTAGTGACAGCAAAGTTGGAGAAGAAGCCCTGCTCTGTCTACCTGACTATCAAAACAAGTGGCCAGGGACTGTCGGAGGAAAACACAAAAAAGCTCTGTGAACCTCCAAAGAAATCCCTGGGTTAACCAGGAAGTCATTTACACATTTATCAACTCAGTGCCTGGGGCCTTTGGAGGCATGATGGAGAAAAAACTGCATCCGCTGCCTTACATTCCAAAATGTGTGGGTGGAAGGGGAAAATTTCAGCATGGCAGGGCCACATTTCCAGCTCCGCATTTAACAACCCACCCCCCAGGTGGATGGAAGAGTAAAGTGGGACAGTTTCACTTGAAAGGAATTTGACTCCCCTTCACTTCCCCTACACCTCATTTGTTTCCATCTCATACCAACACTTCACCTTTAAACTACAGCCTAGCTGGGTTCTGGTCTGTGTTATCTACCTTAGATCAAAAACTCAAGAGGCCAGGGCCCACAGCTGCTGGGAAACACCCACCCCAGCACTGCAAGTGCTTTTGGGCAGGGACCCTTACAATTGTGTCGTTCTGCAGTCATGCCCTGGTTCCCACCCTACGGACTCCAAATCCTTCACAGTTCCCCCCAAATGATATGTCCTTGCCTGATCATTCCTTTGGCCCAGCATGTCCCACATCTACTCTTTTGGATTAATGATCCCTAACCCACAATTTAAGGTCTAGCACATACAGCATGTCCTCCATGCGTTCCATACAAAACAAACCTTGTCACTCATACCTTAGCCCTTGGTGTGCTGCATTGTAGCCTACTGTACTGCTAGACAGAAATTGTCTGAGGGCAACCCCAGGAGTCCCCCACCATGCTTAGCCTAGTAACTGTCACATCAAGGTGTTCACTACATGTCACTGGAAAAACGGCCAAGGAAAATACTGTTCATGAGTAATACCAACCTGGTATCGTCCCAGAATAATCTTGGCATTACATCCAGGAGCATTTTTGCAATATACATACAAATTGAGGACTTCCCTTTTGCAGCAATTGTCTTTAAACACCTAAAAGATAAACATAATAGGTCTCATACATTCCAAAGCTTTACAGCAACGTGAATGAAGCTATTATTAATTTGGTCTTTAAGTACATCTCAACAATCAGGTGGAAACTTCCAGACAGTGGTTGGGATGGAAATATCAGATTCACCACCATAAAAGAAGAGATTGTCATAGATACATACAGGCCACCAAACCTACAAGACCAGTGCAGTAGGCTGCAGCTGGGAGAATCTCACGGTTAACTGGATCCCACACACTCAAAGGTCAGGAGGTAGAGCTGTGGCTGAAGGTGATGCTTTCAGGTTCCTGTCGCAGCGTCAACATTTGTATTAGTCATCAGGAGATGTCACTGAAACTGTGCTGACCTGCTACTTCAGCACAAACCAGGGGTTGGCAGACTTTCTCCGTAAAAGGTCAGATAGTAAATATTTTTGGCTTTGCAGGCCACATTGCAATGTTCTCTGGAACAACGATTCAACTCTGTAGAACACAATACTTAAATGAATGGGCGTGACTGTCTTCCAATATTTATGGACACTGAAATGCGAATTTCGCATAATTTTCACGTGTTCACAACACATTATTCTTCTTTTCATTTTTACAATAAATTTTCATTTTGAAATAAAGACTCACAAGAGGTTGCAAAAATAGTAGAGTTCCTGTGTATCCTTCTTTTAAAAAAAAAATGGGCACCTAAGCTAATATCTCTTGCCAATCTTCTTCTTCTTTTTTTTTTTTCTTCTTCTCCCCAAATCGCCCCAGTACATAGTTGTATATTCTAGTTGTAGGTCCTTCTGGTTGTGCTATGTGGGACGTTGGCCTGATGAGCAGTACCATGTCCATGCCCAGGATCCGAACCGGCAAATCCCTGGGCTGCTGAAGTGGAGCGTGCAAACACAACCACTCAGCCATGGGGCCAGCCTCCTGTGTACCCTTCTTTTGATTTTTTTCCATGATTTAAAAATATAAAAAACAGCAGGCTGGCTTGGTGGCAGAGTGGTTAAGTTGGCACGCTCTGCTCTGGCAGCCCAGGTTCCGTGGGTTCGGATCCTGGGTATGGACCTACACACTGCTCATCAAGCCATGCTGTGGTGGTGTCCCACACACAAAATAGAGGAAGATTGGCACAGATGTTAGCTTAGGGCCAATATTCCTCACCAAAAAAAAAAAAAAATATATATATATATATAAACCATTCTCAGTTCACAGGCTGTACAACAACAGGTATCAGGCTAGATTTGTCCCAACAAACCCCATGTTGCAGCCTGCCAACCCCTGGCCTAGTGGGTGATACAGACACAAGTACACCACTGTCCCCTGCTAGGCATTTGCAAAATGATTCATAAGAGCATAGAGAAGGAGCGTGTACAACAGACTAAGTGCTCAGGGTGCTTCCTGGAGGAGGTGAGAATTGAATGTCCTGTGATGGAATTTTAAAGGAAGAAAACTTAGCTTAAAAAGAAGTTTTAAGGGAGAAAATCTTCATGACCATGGGTCAGGTAGGTAATGGCTTCTTAGATACAATACTAAAAGAACAAGTGACCAAAAGAAACAAACAAAAGATAAATAAGACTTCATCAAAACGAAAAACTTTTCTGCTTCAAAGGATATCATCAAGAAAGTGAAAAAACAATCCATAAAATGGGAGAAAAATATTTGCAAATCACATATCTGATAAGAGACTTGTATCCAAAATATATAAAGACCTCTTAGAATTCAACAATAAAAGACAAATAATCCACTTTAAAAATTGGCAAAGGAATTGAGTAGGCATTTCTACAAAGAAGATGCACAAATGGCCAAGCACATGAAAAGATGCTCATCATTAATCATTAGAGAAATGCAAATCAAAACCACGAGATTCCTTTTCATATCCACCAGGAAGGCAATACTCAAACAGACGGACAATAACAAATTTTGGCGAGGATCCAGAGAAATTAGAACACTCATATCTTGCTGGTTGGAATGTAAAATAGTACAGTGGCTTCGGAACATAGTCTGGCAGTTCCTCAGAAAGTTAAACATAGAAGAATGTTACCACGTTAACACAGTTACCAAATGACCCAGTAATTCCACTCCTAGGTATATACCCAAGAAACATGTACACTTTAAAGGTAAATGCCATGGCATATGAATTATGTCTCAATAAAGCTATTGTTAGACATAATAATAATAAAAAGAAGTTTTAGAGATTAGCCAGATGAGAAAGCGAATTCCAGGAAACAGGATGTTTCATTTCTCCAGGTGCCTCAATGTAACGGGAGCTAATATAGGAAGCGGCTAAGGAGGAAGCAAGAGAAGAAACTTGGGGGGGTTTCAATAAAGACCCAATGAAGCCTCTCTCAAACCGGGCTAGGAGTGGGGTCTGACTTGACCCCATGGCAGAGGAATATGGACCCTAAGGAAGGTCCCCCTCTCCCACTCTCCTGCTCCAACCTCTATGTGCAATTCAACCCAGGACACTGGCTTCTCCATCACCCAGAGAGCCGCTAAACCACAACAGTGATTTTCTTACCTCCTGAGATTTGATAACCTCCTTATCTACAGGGCAGAGTGGGACTGCATTTAATTCTCTGGAGAGAAAAACAAAAACAGAGCCAGAATTAAGAGTTGACCTCGACAGCTCTTCCAAGAGTAGCCCCAGCACTCCAGCTGTGCTTGACCCCTTGAGCAGGCCAGGCCCTGTCCTTGCTCATGCTCTTCCCTCCTCCCAGAAGGGCCCCTGGCATCCCAATTTCAGCATCTGCTTAGTCTGCCTGAAAAACTCCCATTCATGCTGCAGGGTGTAAGTCAAATAGCGAGTGCCCCAGAGTTAAATGCCCTCTGCCAGAGCTCCCACGGGAGTCCTTTGCTTATCACACTGTCCCACAACCTGTCTCCATCAGTAGACTGGAACATTCTAGAGGGCAGAGACTGGGTCCTCTGCTACACTGGATCCCTGCACACCAGAGCTTAGTTTAGCAAGCTGCCTGGAGCACACAGGTGCGAATGAACAAACCCAAGAATAAATGAGAATGTGCTGTCATAACCCCCTTTCCACGTTTGATAGCATACAACTTCCTTATTGTCCTAGATAAGCCCCCAAAATCTGCTTCCACGTCTCTCTGGGTCCCCTCCCTCAAAGTGGCATGACCCAGGTTTTACAGCTGCCCAGGCATGGACAGCATCCGTGGCAGTGAGGTCCCCTCTGGATGTGAGACCACCTCTGCCTTAAGGCAGGGAAAGGTCAGGGTGACTACAACACAGACCCCCGTGACATACAGGCCCTCCCACCACAGACTGTGCATCTAGCTTTGCCCTCACATGCAAAGCAGGTGTGGTCTGAATTTTAAGAAAAGGTAAATATCAATACGTGAGTGGCAAAAACATGAAGATTATTTCTCAGGCTCTCAGAGACTGGCCCCAGGAGAGCCTCTCCTCATATTCGTGGTTCTGTGGGCAACCACAGCAATTCCAAAAACCACGATTACAGTCGAGTGGCCACAGAAGACATTTCGATCCCAGGAACAGCCGCGTCTGGTTCTGGCCGGAGCTGCAGGCCCTGCCCACTCACCTCAGGGACAGGATGCAGTGCTGGCAGAAGCGGTGCCCACAGCCCGTCTGGTGGGGGTTGTGAAGCACAGAGTGGCAGAAGGCACATTTGTAGCGCTCTTCTAACTGCTCTACGAACCGATACTCTGTGTTGGGCTCAAAGTCCAAGGAAACGGAGTTGCTGGAATTCTGACGGATGAAACCACAGGGGACACCTCCTTGCTCCTCAGAATAAGCCATTCTGAGGGGTCAAGAGAAGAGAAAGAAAATTAAGTGTGCAAATACCAAAACAACGACAGCCATCAGATGTTTTAACTATTTGTTTCCTAATTAGTGAACATCACCCACACGGTCATTCAGTTATGACTTTGTGACAACAATGACAACCTCCTGCCACTGGAGGGCCCCCACAGAGGGGAGATGGGGTACTCAGGTGGGAGGCTGGACCAAGTGACTTCCAGCACGATTCTATCAGACTTTAGCCCTTTGTCCATTTACCTTTTACAGGATGCTAACTTATCCTGTCAGTTTGCCATATCCTTGAACAAAATATAGACAGATGTTAACTACATTCTATGTAAGCTATTGTTATGGATTTTTCTTCCATTCAGTTGAGAAAATTGAGAAAAATGCTTTGTTAACATTTTTGAGAAGAACATCGCACACCAGTACATTTCTTGCAACATATAGATAGACAGATATATCACCACCACCAAGCCACATCATTTCTCACCTGAACTAAATAAGAGCCCACTAATTGATTCCCCCTCCAACCCATTCTCCATAGTATAGCCAGGGTGATATTTTCAAAATGCAAGTATAATTGAAGGTTATCTCCCCTCATCATTCACTGACTTGCCAGGGCTTAGACAGAAAAGTCCATAACGTGAAGCAGGCTACAAGACTGCATCCTCACCACCCAGCAGCATCCTGGACCTCTCCTCCTCTTGCTTTCTGCACTCTAGCCACACAGGCTTTCTTTTAGTTCTTCTACTATATCATGCTGGCTTCTGCCACAGGGCCTTTGCACAAGCCATTGCCTCTGTCTAGACTGCTTCCACTATCCCCTTCCAGTCCTCTTCACTTAGTTAACTCACATTCATGCTTCAAAATTTCATTTCAAGCATTATATCCTCAGGTAAGATTTCTCTTCTCCCCTAGTCTAATGGCAGGAGGCCCACTCACCAGTCTGTAAAACATGCATGGCTCCAGGGAGTGGCTAGGGGATAAGGAAGGGGGGAGATATTTCACTATATAATCCTTTTGAATTTTTGAACATGAATATATCACCTATTCAAAAATAAATAAATATATAAAAACAAAAACTGAACATCCACTGTCATATATGTCATAGAACCAGGTTCCTTTCCTTCAGAGCAATACTTGATTTAAAATTAGACATACATATACGTGATTATTGAATTTATATCTGGCCCCCCAATGACACACAGATCGCATCTGGTCATGCTCATGGTTGTGTCCCCAGCCCTTAGCACTGAGTCAGGCATGGAGACCAACTCAGCTATTTGTTGAATTAATGCTATTGAATGGACTTTTTGAAAAACCTTGGCCTCTAACATAGAGATTCTTAACCTTTTTTGAGCAAGGACTTCCCCTTGCCTTTGAAGATTTGATGAAAACTCTAGGCCTTCTCCCTATAAAATAGCACACACACTTGACATCTGGAGCTTTAGGGGCCCTCTGAGCCCACTGGTGGTCCCCACGTTAACAACAGCCCTGCCTCCCCAGCAGGAATATTGTTACTTTTGGCACAGTACAAGGAGCAGTGCTTTCAGAGTGTCTGGCAAATGGCTAAAGGATGGGAGGCCATCAAGGGTGGTCCCTTCCACATGGGGGTGATGTCCTTCCACATGGTTAGGGTACAGGAAGCCTTGGCTTTCAGGCTCGCTTGCTTTGGCTTGCTCTTGGGATCCCTCAGGATTCTCCGGCAGCTGATAAGGTCAACTGGACCTGGGAGCAGCTGTGCAGCCTACCATGTAGGCGAGAGACAGGTGGCCCCACGCAACACTCAGCTTTGCTCAAGTCAGCTGCTGGCCTCTCTCACTGCTGGTGTGGTCTGAGACTGGGGCGGGGCCCGGGTGAACAGAGTAGAGTAAGCAACTGGCCTCCTTCAGCAAACACAGCTTTCTCTCTGGAGGAGCCTAGCAGACCAGGGGATTTTTTCTTTTAATCCTGGGGTTAGAGACCAGAGCTCCACATTTTCCTCTCTGAATGTGTTTCCCGCAGGACTCCAAGAGTGGGAGGTAAGCAGTACAAGATGTGACTTTTCCCCTTTTACTCTTGAGATTTAACAAGAGTTTTACTTAGGAAGATAAAGAGGCACAGAACTTGATTTACATGCACAACCCTAATAACCAAGACTCACCCATCTCTCCAAGAAGTGAAAGAACTAATTCCAAACTGCCCTACTCTGCCCTGTGTTCTCTAGTCCCAAGGGAGGTCAACAGTTCACGTCCCACGCCCCTCTAGGGTTCTCTCCTGAAACCAGGCTCATGTCTGTGTCACTCGGCATCTAAATTTGGACTCACAGAGATTTACCCTAAAGCAACAGGCTTGCTCAGCCCCCAGAACGAGGCAGCAGGATGTACAAAACTCAGTTCAGGTTCCCCTCCATTACATTCTACCCTCTTTCCTAGCACAAAAATTTAATGCACTCATCTGTGTGTGTCTGTTTATCTTTCCCTACAACAGTAGTTCTCAAACTTTTTGGTTTCAGGACCCCCTTTTAGAGTCTTAAAAATTGAAGACCCAAAGACTCAGAATAGTCAACACAATATTGAAGGAGTAGAACAAAATGGGAAAATTGACACTATCAGACTTCAAAACTTACTGTAAAGCTATAATATTCAGACAGTGTGGTATTGCTGAAAGAGTAGACAAACAGATCAATAGAACAGAATAGAGAGCCCAGAAATAGACCCACTTAAACATAGTCAACTGATCTTTGACAAAGGAGCAAAGGCAATACAAAGGAATAAAGATAGTCTTTTCACAAATCGTATTGGAACAACTAGACATCCACACGCAAAAAAAATGAATCTAGACACAGACTTTACACCCTTCACACAAATTAACTCAAAATGGATCATGGACCCAAATGTAAAATGCAAAATTATTAAACTCCCAGAAGATAACACAGGAGAAAATCTAGATAACCTCAGGTCTGGCAATGACTTTTTAGATCTAACACCAAAGTCATAACCTGTAAAAGAAAGATAGATAAGCAGGACTTCGTTAAAATCAAAAATTTCTGCTCCGTGAAAGACATTGTCAAGAGAAGGAGAAGACAAGCCACAAACTGAGAGAAAATATTTGCAAAAGGCACATCTGATAAAGGACTGTTATCCAAAACACATCTCAGCACAGAAGATATACAGACGGCAAAGAAGCACATGCAAAGGTGCTCTCCATCATGTGTCATCAGGGAAATGCAAATTAAAACAACAAGGAGATACCACTACACACCTATCAGAATGGCCACAATCCAGAACACTGAGAACATCAAACACTGGTGAGGATGTGGAGCAACAGGTACTCTCATACATTGCTGGCAGTAATGTAACACTTTGGAAGACAATTTGGCAGTTTCCTACAAAACTAAACATACTTTCACCATCTGATCCAGCAATTACGCTCCTTGGTATTTACTCAAGGCAGCTGGAAACTTATGTCCACATAAAACCCTGTACATGGATGCTTATTGGGGCTTTATTCATAATTGCCAACACTTAGAAGCAATCAAGATGTCCTCCAGTAGGTGAACGGATAAACCCTGGTACATCCAGACAATGGAATATTATTCAGTGCTAAAAAGAAACGAGCTATTGAGTCATGAAAAGACGTGGAAGAAGCTTAAATGCATATTACTAAGTGAAAGAAGCCAATGGAAAAGGCTATTTACTATATGATTCAACTATTTGACATTCTGGAAAAGGCAGAATTATGGAGGCAGTAAAAAGATCATTGGTTGCCAGAGATTAGGGTGAAGGGAGAGATGAATAGGTGGATTACAGAGGATTTTTAGGGCAGTGAAAATACTCTGTATGAACTAGAAGGGTGAATACATGTCATTACACATTTGTCCAAATGCATAGAATGCAAGACTGAACCCTAACGTACACTATGGACTTCAGACGATAACGATGTCTTGACTGAAGGGCAGCAGAACATGCCACCCCAAGATATGCTGCTTTGGTATACTGATTATTTTGAGCTGTAGACGCTTGAAAAGCAGCAAATGCAGGGAGAGGCTTTCTCTGAACACTTTCTCTGCCTAAAGACACATCCTCCAAAAGGAACTCAATTGCCATAAATCTCCTCTCAGGGAGTTTCATCAACCAGGGAAGACAGACTCACGTCACCAGGAGAAGAAACTAGAAGTTGACACCCAGACAAACGTTGTCACAAACTATCATATCTCCCACTTATTCTTCTAAGGGCCCATTCACTTTTCCTAAAAATCATTTACTCTCCCCTAAGAGGCCTACATCCCCCTCCTTTTCCCTCTCAAGATGGTATTCAAGCCTGAATTCTAAGCCATCTCAGAGAGTTACTATTTTTCCCTGGGTATCTCCCATATACACATGAGGTATATATGTTAATAAACTTCAGTTTGTTTTTCTCCTGTTAATCTGGCTTTTATTACAAACGTCTCAGCTAAGAGCTCAGAAGGGTAAAGGGAGAATCACTCCCCTACACAATGTGGGTTCATGAACTGTAACAAATGACTCATTCTGGTGGGGGATGTTGCTAATGCAGGAGGCTCTGCGTGTGTGGGGGCAAGGGGTATATGGGAAATCTCTGTACCTTCCACTTACCTTCCACTTTGCTGTGAACTTAAAACCACTCTAAAAAATAAAGTCTCTTAAAAAAAACATTGAACACCCCAAAGAGTTTTTATGTGGGTTACATCTATCGATAGTTACCATATTTGAGATGAAAATTGAGGAATTTTAAAAAATATTTCTTTATTAATTCACTTTAAGATAATAAGCCAATTACGTGTTAACATAACATTTTAATGAAAAATAACCATTTTCCAAAACAAAAAATTTAGTGAGACGAGTAGCACGGTTTGCGTTTTTGCACATCTCTGCGCTTAATAGAAGATAAGTGGATTCTCATATCCACTCCCACATTCAGTCTTTACAGTTTCACATGTCATGCAGCTCCTGGAAAATATCACTGTACACTCATGAAAGAAGGAGAGTAAAAATGGCA